CTAAAGGATAAAATTTAAGTTTATCTTATACAGGAAGAAAATAACATCCCTTTTATTTTTAACTATTTTCAATATAAAAAAAAATGTAAATTCCCTTTGTGTTTGAAATGTGTCTTTTATGGTTTCATTCATTTTGAACAATTTTCCCTTTTGCATTAATAATACTTCAATTGGAGTCATTTGCTTTTGAATCAGTTTGTGTTCTCTGTTTACAGTTATTTTGGTGTTTAAGATTAGTCTGTGCTGTCATTTCCTGCTCATCATATCTGTCTGGTATTCTTTTTAGAAAGCACTCAATCCTTATCTTAAAAGTACATGACCAACCTCTGATCAATAATTTTGTTAATAAGCAGAAACCCACACAGGTGTCAGTACTTTTAAAACTTATATTCATAGAGAAGAATGTAACTATATAATTGTTAATAAATACCACAGTATGTCATGCACATGTATATTCTTCCTCATCTAAAACACATTTTTGTTTTACGTTTTTGTACGTTTTGACCCATTAGTGAACCAATTTTCAAAGAATCCATCCTACCTTACTTTCTCTGCCAACATGCTTCTGAAGTTGTTATGTTCAGTTTACCAAATTGTGACGGTACTGTTATGAGCTATTTATTAGTTTAACATGAATAAGTTAGAATTATCTTTATGTTTTAATCATGTTTATTTTGTTAAAGTTGTTATTAACAGGACTGTATACATTCTGTGGGTAGATCTTAGGTTTGAAGTGCTCTTCTTGAACTTTGTGCTCAAAATCGAATTTTTTACTTGTAAATAACAAAATGGGACAGGTAAAACAGTTATGTTTAGGTCATTAAACTTCAGATTTTCTGTGACTTGACTGTTAGTGTTGCTCCCCACCTATTACAACTTATTCAATTCTGAACAAATTGCTATTTGTTTTATAAAAGCAAACTGTTCAACTGGTCAGAAATTTGTACAAACTGCTGTAGAAAATCAGTCAAGTTGTGAAAGTGCAAGGGGATAAAATAAAGTATACTTACAATCCTATAAGACTTTAATTCCACCTCAATGATATTATGAAAAATCTGTCTAACAATTTGTATATATACAAATTTTATTGTAATTGTCATGCTAAAGGTGATAGGTAGTACTTTTTATGCCCCCGCCGTAGTGGAGGTGGCATTAAGTTTAACCCTTGTCCGTCTGTACGTCCGTCTGTATGAACGTCCCAAAGTTGGTTTCCGTTCTCTTACTTTGGTTTGCCTCTACCAAAATGTTATGAAACTTATACACAATGCTTATTACCACAAAACACAGATCAAGTTTGAATTTTGGTGGTGTCACTTTAACCATTCTAGAGTTATGCCCCTTTATAAATGGAAAAATTGCTGAATTATTATACGCCCGTCAAATTTTTGACGGGACGTATTATGTTATACAAATGTCCGGCGTCCGTCTGTCTGTCTGTCCGGCGTAAACATGTCGCACCGTAACTTGAGAATGACTTATCCAAATTTCATGAAACTTAACATAGTTGTTTCTTATGATGGTCAAACGATCTGTATACTTTTTGGTGAAAATAAGATTAAAACTTTTTGAGTTACGGGACTTAGTATCTAAAACAGGTGTGTTTTTTTTTCACATGTCGCGCCATATCTCAAACACAATTTATGATTATTGATTAAAACTTCACACACTTCTTAGTTATATTAATCTTAAGATCTGTATACTTTTTGGTGATGATTCAAAATTTTATTTTAGAGTTATTGAGTATTTTGTTAAAAAAGGGGGAGGGGTTTTTCACATGTCGCGCCGTATCTCAAAAACGATTTATGATTATTGCTTAAAATTTTACACACTTCTTAGTTATATTAATCTAAAGATCTGTATACTTTTTGGTTTAGATTCAAAATTTTATTTTTGAGATATTGATTTATTTTTTTTTTAAAAGGGGGGGTTTTCACATGTCGCGCCGTTTCTCAAAAACGATATATGATTATTGCTTAAAATTTTGCAAACTTCTTAGTTATATTAATCTAAAGATCTGTATACTTTTTGGTTTTGATTCAAAATTTTATTTTAGAGATATTGAGTTTTTTGTAAAAAAAAAGGGGGGTTTTCGCATGTCACGCCGTATGTCAGAAACTATTTATGCTTATTGCATAAAAATTCACACACAAGACGACAGGCGTATCATGCGCTCATGGCACAGCTGTTTATTAGTTTCTGTTCTCTTACTTTAGTTTGCCTCAACCAAATGTTATGAACTTATACACAATGCTTATTACCACATAATACAGATCAAGTTTGAATTTTGGTGGTGTCACTCTAACAGTTCCAGAGTTATGCCCGTTTACAAATATGAAAATGGCTGAATTTTTCGTTTCCGTTCTCCAACTTAAGTTTACCTGAACCAAATGTTATGAAATTTATACACAATGCTTATTACCACAAAACACAGATCAAGTTTGAATTTTGGTGGTGTCACTTTAACCGTTCTAGAGTTATGCCCCTTTACAAATGAAAAAATTGCTGAATTTTTCGTTTCTAGATATAAGAAGATGTGGTATGAGTGCCAATGAGACAACTCTCCATCCAAGTCTTCAGTTATGTCCCTTTGTAATTATATGATATGCAAGCAGGGGCATCATATGTGTCCCATGGACACATTTCCCATTTATTCATAATATCATTGAAGTGGAATTAAAGTCTTATAGGATAAAGATAAAAAAAAAGTCTTATAGGATTGTTAGGCCAGGGTTTTTTTAAATTTCTTGGTTTACAGATTCGCCGACCCTATTTTTCTGATTTGCAGAATAAAAATAAAATTGACATTTCATGCTTTTTTATTCCCGCCGACCCTAACAAACACATTATCCCTGAAATATAGATAAAAATATTCTTTTTTATGAAATTAAATGCATTAAACATTAACAGAATTGATTACACATTGTGTTGTAAAAAAATAAAAATTAAAAAATAATCCGTATGTTTAAGTATCTAAAAATAGACAAATCAATCATAACTGACCTTGAAATGTTGTTTGCACTAATAATTTTGTGGAGCGAAACCTGTCTTTAAAACCCTTTACAATAAGTTTGTTTTCCTTTTTTGTCATAATTCCGTAAGATGTATCATCTCATAGATGAAATGGACCTGTCCAAATGTGAAAGACGTCAAGTTAAAGTAATAGATATTCACAAACAATTTGGAATTTTCTTGTTTCATAGATATTAAAAAAAAAGTTTGTCCATTTGGATATCAAAAACGGGAATGCATGACAACTGATGAATTCAATATCCTCATCTTTCTAGTGGAAGAGTCTATTTCGTTTTTGACACAAATGGTAAAGCTTAGTTTTCGTACGACTACGTGTTTGCAATTTTATTTATTAGTTTTCGTGCTTGAAGATCATTATTCACCATGTTTCCTGAAATTTGATAAAAAGCAATGTGAATCTGTTTTTTCTTGTTCATGAAATGACGATTTAATTTTGTCTTTTTCTGTGGACATATCCCCCCTTTTTGGAAATTGTATAAATATAATATAAATATATAATTTTTTTTTACATGTCTTGAAAGATTTTTTTGTTCTTTTTTTTTCCTACCGACCAACCGACCTGACTTTTTCATGTGAAAAATCCGGAAACCATCAAATTAAAAAACCCTGGCTTAAGTATGCGGTATTTTATCACCTTGCACTATCACGACTTGACTGGTTTTCTACAGCAGTTTGTTCAAATTTCTGACCAGTTGAACAGTTTGGTTTTATAAAACAAATAGCAATTTGGTCAGAATTTTGAATAAGTTGCAATAGGCAGAGAGCAACACTTACAGTCAAGTCACAGTAAACCCTAGCAATTTATATTTCAACAAGGCCTAAAATTTTTGATGGAAATGTTCTTGATAAGATTGAAAAAAGATGGTGCATTTTCAGGAAAACTGCTCACGTTAATGAGGTTCGTAAAGAGGGATATGTGCAGGACAAATGGGAAATAAAATGTCAATTTAGCAATGGATGAGAAATAAAAAAAAATAGCTTTCACATTGCTTTTTTCATTAGCATGAAACATGAATAATGAGCTTCAAGTCTGAATACACATGAAATGACAATTGCTGACACTTCACATGTAAGTTACCCTGTACCACCCATTCTGCTGAGGAACAATGAATAAATCATGTTGGTCAAACTATTTCAAAATTTCAAGATATTGATCTATACATATTAAGAATACACCAAGCATAGAATATGTCTGTGACCATCAATAAAGCCTGACAAGTATACATACTAACTTAATGACAACACCTACTCCATGTAATTGTGGTAGATTACCTCATGACTAGAGTTTTCCTACTTGTTATTCATTTCTGCATAACTGAATCAATTTTGATATTTCACTCTGACATTGTTTGCTTATAGATATATGGCGGGAGAACCAATCTTTGACAGTCATATTATATAACCTACACCAGACTTCCCAAGTTTACAATAGAAAATTGTCTGTGGCTTTCTGTTTAAAAGTACAACAATTGTAAGGAATCTTAATCAATTATGTAATTCATTTGTTAAGTTAATTATCCAAAGCTTTGTTGAGTTTGAAGCCAATCGGGACGGATTTGCATAGACGTAAAAATTGTGATATTTTTTGCACTAACTGTTATACTTTTTTGTAAAGCTTTTATAGCTTTGGCATAAATGATATCAAATAAGTTTTAAATCTTTGAAAACTTTTGATTATATATGGATTTTATCCATTGATTTGATTATAGGGTTTCCAATTGTCTGCAAATTCAGGAAGTTTGACAGTAAAATTAGTTAAAACAACATTAGTAATTGCTTTAGGTGACATTTGTTATGTAAACAGTTGATTTTCACTATATATAGCTATAAAGTGAACTGTGATGATTTTGTTAAAAAAAAAAAGGCAATTAACTACGGTTTAGATAAATAAAAAAATGATGATTTGGGCGATTTTTATACGACCGCAAAAAAAATTTTGTGGTCATATATTGGTTTGATGTTTGCGTCGACGTCCGAAGACACATTAGTTTTCGCACTCTAACTTTAGTTTAAGTGAATGGATCTCAATGAAATTTTACCATAAGGTTCAATACCACAAAAGGAAGGTGGGGATTGATTTTGGGGGTTATGGTACCCACAGTTAAGGAATTAGGGGCCAAAAAGGGGCCAAAAATAAGCATTTTTGTAACTTCCAGACATAACTTGTGTGTAAGTGTATGGATCTCTCTGACAATGTACCACAAGGTTCCATATCACAAAGGGAATGCTGGGATTGATTTTGGGGGTAATTGCCTCCAAATTTTAGGAATTAGGGGCCAAAAAGGGGCAAAAAACAAGCATTTTTCTAGTTTCATGACAATAACTTGTGTGTAAGTGTATGGATCTCTCTGACATTGTATCACAAGGTTCCATATCACATAGGGAATGCTGGGATTGATTTTGGGGGTAATTGCCTCCAAATTTTAGGAATTAGGGGCCAAAAAGGGATAAAAACAAGCATTTTTCTAGTTTCATGACAATAACTTGTGTGTAAGTGTATGGATCTTTCTGAAATTGTACTACAAGGTTCCATATCACAAAGGGAAAGCTGGAATTGAGTTTGGGGGTAATTGCCTAAAACGTTTAGGAAAAAGGGGCCAAATAGGGGCCAAAAATAAGCATTTTTCTAGTTTCCAGACAATAACTTGTGTTCAAGTGTATGGATGTCTCTAAAATTGTTCAGCAAGCTACCATACCACACAGGGAAGGCTGGGATTTTTTGGGGGTAATTGCCTCAAAATGTTAGGAATTAGGGGCCAAAAAGGGGCAAAAAACTAGCATTTTACAGTTTCATGACAATAACTTGTGTGTAAGTGTATGGATCTTTCTGAAATTGTACTACAAGGTTCCATATCACAAAGGGAAAGCTGGAATTGAGTTTGGGGGTAATTGCCTAAAACGTTTAGGAAAAAGGGGCTAAATAGGGGCCAAAAATAAGCATTTTTCTAGTTTCCAGACAATAACTTGTGTTCAAGTGTATGGATGTCTCTAAAATTGTTCAGCAAGCTACCATACCACACAGGGAAGGCTGGGATTTTTTGGGGGTAATTGCCTCAAAATGTTAGGAATTAGGGGCCAAAAAGGGGCAAAAAACTAGCATTTTACAGTTTCATGACAATAACTTGTGTGTAAGTGTATGGTCTTTCTGAAATTGTACTACAAGGTTCCATATCACAAAGGGAAAGCTGGAATTGAGTTTGGGGGTAATTGCCTAAAACGTTTAGGAAAAAGGGGCCAAATAGGGGCCAAAAATAAGCATTTTTTCTAGTTTCCAGTCAATAACTTGTGTTCAAGTGTATGGATGTCTCTGAAATTGAACTGCAAGGTACCATACCACAAAGGAAAGGCTGGGATTGATTTTGGGGGTAATTGCCTCAACTTTTTAGGAATTAGGGGCCAAAAAGGGGCAAAAAAACAAGCATTTTTCTAGTTTCAGGACAATAAGCTGTGTGCAAGTGTATGGATCTTTATGAAATTGCACTACAAGGTTCCATATCACAAAGGGAAAGCTGGGTTTGAGTTTTGGGGTTATTGCCCTAAACGTTTAGGAATTTGGGGCCAAAAAGGGGCCTAAAAACAAGCATTTTTCTAGTTTCCAGACAATAACTTGTGTTCAAGTGTATGGATCTCTTTGAAATTGTACTGCAAGGTACCATACCACAAAGGGAAGGCTGGGATTGAGTTTGGGGGTGATGAATCATAAGGAGGTTCAAAAAATTTGGGGGAGTGATTATTTTTTCCTTTTTTTTTTCTTTAAAATTTTCCATTTTAAATTGGTTATTTCTGATTTATATATAAAAGCAAATAATAATATGGTTTGAATAGGTAAATTAAAAAAAATTTAAGTTCTTAGACCACATCTATTCTGTGTCAGAAACCTATGCTGTGTCAAATATTTAATCACAATCCATACTTGCCCCAACTGTTCAGGGTTCGACCTCTGCAGTCGTATCAAGCTGCGCCCAGCGGAGCATTTTATTGTTAGTTGTTTTTGTGCTTTGTATCATTCTGATGATACTTTTTTACTGATTTTTGATAGTTTGTTCTTATGTTATGCTGTCCCAGGTTATGGAGATGGTTGGATGCCCATAAACATGTGTAAAATATTTATATAAGAATCTCTAGGTGAACTTTAAATTGAACTCCAGTTTCAACAGAATTAGGGAATTAATACTTGCATTAGTTTGGATGTAACTTTATCAATATACACCTTCTGTTGTAATCACCATTCAGTAGCAGTTTAGAATTGCAAAGCAAAAGTCATTGTTCAGAATTACTAAAATGATTTACCATGAATTTAGATGTTCAGCAAAATATAAAATTTCTAAAGATTTGTGTGCAGACTTTGGCAAGACCACAAAATTAAATATCAAGGAAAATATAAGTTTTCTTCAATCCCTGAAAATTGATATCCACAAAACTAAATTAATCCACAGTGTGCAAGCAGCTGCAAAACAAAGAGCCTCTATTGCAACATTAATGGGCATGCTCTGATAGTCAATTTGGGTACATTTTGTGTCTTTTAGTATAAACAGGGTGACATGATAATCAAGGAACAAATAAAGCAAAACTGCATTCAATAATAGACCTTTTCTAAAGGCTTAATTTAAACATGAAGAAATGTTTAAATTGGATTGTGGCATTTGAAGATTTGCACAACGTGACCTTTTTATTCCTGATATAGACGTTATAAATGTTAATATTAGATCTAGGTTATAATAATAAAATGTCAAAATATTCAGAAATTTCTTTTAAGTCCTAAAAGGATGAATATTGGAAAATGTACTTATTACAAAAAATAAAGTAAAGAAATATTTCTGACAACCTATGGTTTGTTGGATATTTTACCAATGGGGTAAGCTTAATGGCTATTCAAATGTTACTCTGAATTCAGCACTGGTAAATATTGCTTAATTGCATGTACACCTGGCAATTGTTGAAGACCTTAAGTTGCTGTCCTAATATCTTTGGTTATTTTTGTTGTTAGTGGTACTGTGTCATAGACCTAAACCCTTTCCTTTTATTCACAGTTAAAATTGTTTATGATTCTTTGTTAAGGTTATTTATATATGATAATAAATATCTTGCAATTTTTGTTTTCTTCCCTTTTTCCATCTTTCACATACTGTATAGTAAAAAGAATGTTGAATAAATAGAAAACTCTAAAAGCATTTTCTTGGTCATTAAAATAACAGAAATAAAAAAAAAAAGACAAGTTTGAAAAAAAGTGCAAAGGAACAAAAGCAATATTATCACTTGAGAAACTGTATATTCATCAAATTAGTAAAAAAGTTAGTATTACAACGAAACTTGTCTATTTTCTAATGTGAAATTAATCAGAAAGTCAATTTATAACTCAGAAAACGGATTGTATCTAACATCATTTATTTCATTTAAGTCTTCAAAACATTTTGGTATACATCAACAGATAACTGACAATTAGAAGTATTTTAAAATTCATCAAAACTATTCTGGTACAACAATTGGACTTAAAAAAATGGGATCATGTGCTTTTAACACTGTGAAGAGGGAAATAATGTTTTGCATTTTTTTTACTAAATTGTGTAATAATAAGATTTTCATCCAGATCTGTTTGTGGTAAAACGTTGTTGAGAAGATGACATTTGGCAATTAAAACTTGGAAATAGTTGAAAGGTACTTCAACAATGGGTTGTTTCATTTTGTTGTATGCCAATCTGAACAAGGAAGTTATAGGGCTATTGTGTTTAATGGAAATAAAATGTGTTACAATTTAAGGAGAATTTGTATAATGATGCTTGACTCGGAAACAAAATTTGTCCTAATATACGGATAATGGAGAATAGTTAGTCATGTATAATTTTTTTAATATGAGTGTTGGATTTATTTTATAGTAGCATTTTGATTCAACCCCAGGCTAACTCTGTTAATATTTTCTTGATGAGGAGTTTTGAATGTTAAAGTTAAACGACCAGTACAACTGAAAACTGATTGGTCTACTCTAGGAAGGTAATTGACCATTTATCAATAATTCTGATTTCTGAAACAGTTGCGATAAAAGAAATATATACTAGTCATTGACTAAATAGGGACAGAGGTGTTGTGTACTATCATATAGAACCACAATCTTAAGATTGAGGTGATGTACTAAAAACACCAAATAATAAGAATAGAAATAAGCATCTAACATGCTAATGAACAACTCTATTAATGGATTTCCTGTTTTTTATCTTGCCTGCAACTAATGTCGTGGAATGGGAGACCTAGGGATTACAGTCCGGCAGGGGCGGTTCACCGTAAATTATTTCTTTTTAGATTGATATTTTCAGAGGTTAGAAGACCTGGAACTTCATACATATGTTAAGAAGTTTTCATCTGTCATATGACCATTGTCCTGGACCTTATTAGTTATTATCATGTTCAGTGATTGCTTAAAAAAATGGATAGTTTTTTTTTGTCATGTGAATTTCTCCCTTATTAAGTAATAAGAGGACTATATTTAGTATATGGGTTCCTTTCAAAGTCTACATAGATATAGGAAGATGTGGTATGAGTGCCAATGAGACAACTCTCCATCCAAGTTACAATTTATAAAAGTAAACCATTATAGGTCAAGGTACGGCCTTCAACACGGAGCATTGGCTCACACCGAACAGCAAGCTATAAAGGGCCCTAAAAAACCATTCAAACGGAAAAACCAATGGTCTAATCTATATAAAAACGAGAAACACATATGAACTACATAAACAGACGACAACTACTGTAATCAGATTCCTGACTTAGGACAGGTGCAAACATTTGCAGCGGGATTAAACGTTTTAATGGTACCAAACCTTCTCCCTTTTCTGAAACAATAGTATAACATCACAACATAGAAAAACACACTATAAAATATCAATTGGAAGGCTTAACTCAATCAAAAAACGTAAATAAACACACAATGAACATGTCTGTCAGACAGGGTTCACCTGACCTCAACCTCATTTCATTGATCAGTGATTAAGGTTAAAGCTATGTGATGAGGTACCTTTCTCAGAAACTATTGGCAGTAGGTCAACTATATTTGGTGTATTGAATGATTGTAATGTGTACATGGCAGTCTGGCAGGTTTCATATGACTTTGACCTGATTTTCTTGGTTCACTGATCAATGTTGAGTTTTTATGTTTTGCTCAGTTTTTCAAATACTCATTACTGTAAGCAGCAAATCAACTGTATTTGGTGTATTGAATGATTGTAAGGACTCAGGGGTACATGTCATTGTCATGGATCAGTGATAATGTTACTGTCAACAGGAAACCTTAACATTTGAAAGCCAGGGATGAATAAATGTGTAGAAACATGAGGAGCTATAATGACCAAAAGGAAGCTAAAAAAATAAATAGCCA